GTAGCCTGGGCCTGGCAGGAGCAGGGGTCTCAAGACCTTTGGAGAGCTATTTAGATCAGCGAAGAGTAGCTTTGCCCAGGCCGAACACTCTTGAGTTGCTGGTCAACCTCTTCGTGTTTAGTCCACCATGTGATGGCCACCAAGCTGTTAACTGTAGTGTCAGTGACATGATGGTCCTGTCCACTACAGGTCCGAGAGTTGGATAAGAAAGTCCTAATAGCCAACTTCAAAGCCAATTCATCAAAACAGGCTATTCCAAACAAGTTCAAACCACGCTTTGTCTGAAACAAGCTTTCACAGCATGGATTTGAAATCATAAGTCAGTACGCAGCAGATTGTTTAAAAATGCTTTCTGTTGAGTGGTATGTGTCACATTGTGTAGGTATTTACACATGGTGATCCTGTGGCTCGTGGCATGTAGTGGGCTCCCACCATCCCATTGCACTGAGATATTGCCTAGGTCTGTAATGTTTTGCAAGTATAATCTTTGTTAAAAACTACAGTCACAGTAGAGCCTCTATTGTTATTGTGCACAACAGATTCTAAAGCTGTAACTGCCGTGTTTGTTTGTTTGTTTGTTTCTTAACGCAAAGAACCAGCTGGGCTTCCACGTTGTAAAGTGCATCAGCTGCAGATGAAATCATCTGTGGTTGAGGAGGCCAGTGTGTTCCTGGTTGGGTTGTAGCTTTGTTTAGAATTAAGAGGCTTATAAAGGAAGCCATAGAAACCTCAAGTTCCCTAATTGCCACGGTACAGGAAACAGGGCTTGTTAGTCATCATCCATTGTCCTGACCGGATTGTTTAAGATAAAATTTCAAGACAGTCGGAAAACACCACATGACTCAATTATGTGGTCATGCAGCGTCAGGCTCGCTCTCATTCAGGTTTGCTTTGGGAATAATTGTGGGGAGAACGTTTCTGCAACTTTCATGAAATAACCAAATTATGATGTGAAATAACCAAATTATGATGTTGTTGGGTCCCAAGCCCTTTATGTAACAAGCAGAGATCATGTGAGGAGGAAAAAGTAGGTCTCTTCTGGGTTGCTGGTCTACTTGAGTTTGTCAGCAGATGGCTACAGGATCTCACTGGGAACACCATTAACCCTGGTTAAGTTAGTAAGTTCCCACGGGTACACATGCTGGCACTGGACACAGAGCTGCTCAGGTGAGAGCAGTGTGAAAATCAGCCCTGCCTTGGCCGTGTCAGCCCACGTGACTTTCATTTGGAGGCTCCTGTTTGAAATCACCCTTGGTTTTTTTTCTGTCCAGGGTTGTGATGTGATTTGCTCTCAGTTTTAGCCGCTCTGAGCAACTGCCCAAGTCTTGCACGTATACCCTCTGAATGGCTCAGATTTTGCGGAACCTATACAGTTGTCCCTCAGTTATCTGAAGGGACTTGGTTCCAGGCCCCGCCCCCCTGCCAACCTTGGACACGAAAACCTAAGGATGCTTAAGTCCCTTATATATAGTGGCATAGTATTTGCATATAACCTATGCACATACTTTAAATCATCTCTAGATTAATTATAATGCAGTGTAAATGCTAAGTAAATAGTTGTAAGTATGACATAAATGCTATGTAAGTAGTTGTAGGCTCATGGCAAATTCAAGTTTTGCTTTTTCCAACTTTCTGGGATTTTTTTTTCCTGAATAGTTTTGATCCGTGGTTGGTTGAATCCAAGGACATGGAACCCTTGGATGTGGAGGGTTGACTGTGTTCTAAGTCCCACCAGCTGAAACACCACCCTGAGGTTCCCTGAAAACCCGCTCCACTTCTCTAGCCACTGCAGGCCTGGCCCTTCCTTAGAGGGCTTCCCAAAAGGAATGTCATTCTACACCACACCCCAGAACGCTGAATCACCATCTGTGGGTGGGGCAGGGACAGGCATATTTTCTGAAAGCTCTCCAGGTAATTCTGATGTGCACCTCCCACTAAGAACCACACTTGAAATTGTCCTATTATATCTTTAAAAAAATTTTTATAACCCACCCGAAATTCTTTAGACAAGGACTAAAGAATAAATGTGACATTTCAAATTCAGTGTAGTTAAAGCATTATGGAACACATTTGTTGTCTTTTGATAACTTTTGGTCTTACTCAGAAAATGCATCCCTATTCTGATGACATTTTCCTTGGAAAGGGCAAGGTGGGGGTGGTGGCGTGGGTAGAATTTTGTAAGTGACAACAAGTTCCCTTCCACTGCCAGTCCCAGGAATCTTTTTTATTAATATTTGAGGTTTCCTCTCCCCATCTGCAGAAGCAGGGAGGTTTTCTTGGAGCTTCTGAAATAGGATTAGGGACCAAGGGTGCTCTTCTGTCCTGGGTGTACCTTCTACATAGCTTTCATCCCCTCTGTGTTTTCACTGCCTGCAGCTAAGCTGTGCTTCTGTAGTTCCCTGAGGCTCGTCTCTCCTCGGGCCTCTGGTCAGCTTTGTCCTCATACCTTCCTTGCTTCTGATTTCTGGATCTTGATCTCTGGCCCTGCCCTGACCTATTGATGCTGCTTTTCTGGCCGTGTGTGACTGCCCTTCACAGTGTGGACCTTGGGTCAGCAGCTTCGGCATCACCCAGGGGGCCGAGAAATGCAGGTTCTCAGGCCCCACCCAGACCTGCTTGCGTTCAAGGTTGCACCTTAACAAGATCCCCAAGTGACCTGTGTGCACGTTACAGTGTGAGGGGCATTGGTCTATGGGACACCACCACTCTGTGTTCTAATTGAAGCCTCCACTCTCATCCCATCCTTTTGTCCTGCCTGTTCCCACCAACCCAAGTTTGTCTATCAGGTTGTACTATTTTTTTCCAGACTATCAGTCTTGGCTTCATATTTCATCTTATTCATTGACTCATTCAGATATTTATTGACTGCCTACCAGAGCTAGGTATTGGAGATGCAGTGAGCAAACCCAGACCCAGTTCCTGCCCTCGTGAAGCTCAGCTTCTAGCGGCAGAAGCAGATATTAAATACATCATCAGTTATAAATGTGAAATTATGATGAGCACTGTAGAGAGCCTATAACAAATGTATGAGTCGTTAGGGACGCCAGGGAAGGCTTCTCTGAGGAGGTGATCCTTGTGCCAAGCACTGAGGCCTGAGTAGGAGTTCTCAGGTGAAGAAAAGCAGAAAGAGCTTCCCAGGCAGAAGGAACAGCATGTGCAAAGGCCCGGCTCATCATAGAAAGTTGACAGAGAATTAATTTTTAAAAGAACATTAAATTGCTCTTAAGTCCTTCATCTTTATCTGCTCTTCCACCCAGTCTTGTCAGATTGACACCTCCATTCCTAAGCTGAGGAGCTGGCCTGGACCCTTGTCCCTCCCGCCGGCACGAAGTGACCATGTGCTCGGTTGCATACCGCTCTAGTCTGTTAGTCTAACACTTCACAGTTGCGTTCATTGATAAAACCGCTTTCATTACTGTTCCCTAATATACCATGCTCAGATTTTTAAACTGCTCTCTAATTCCCTCTCCGTTCATGTATTTTTTTTTTTTTTTTTTTTTTTTTTTTTTTTTTTTTTTTTTTTTTTTGCGGTACGCGGGCCTCTCACCGTCGCGGCCTCTCCCGCTGCGGAGCACAGTCTCCGGACGCGCAGGCTCAGCAGCCATGGCCCACGGGCCCAGCCGCTGCGCGCCATGTGGGATCTTCCCGGAGCAGGGCACGAACCCGCGTCCCCTGCATCGGCAGACGGACTCCCAACCACTGCGCCACCTGGGAAGCCCCCGTTCATGTATTTTTAAAGTAAACTTTGTTGAAATATACATACAAAAGAAGAGCACAAATCATAAGGGTAGAGCTTGGTGGATTTTCACAAAGTGAGTACACCAGTGTTATTAGTACCCCAATTAAGAGATGGAATTATAAGCATCCCAGAAGACCCCTGGACACCCCCCAGTCACTACATGCGGAGGAAACTGCTGTCCTGTCTTCTGTTGATTAGTCTTGCCTATTCTGAACTTTATGTAGATGGAATCACGCTATACAGGTCATCTGTTGAGTCTTGGATGCTTCTGCTCAACACAACACTAGAGGAATTCGTGTTGTGTGTCACAGTAGCTCATTTATTTCCTTTGCCGTGTAGTCATGCATGGTGGGACTCCAACACAGTTTATTCGTTCTGTTGGGTCTTTTACAATTTGGAGCTGTTATGAAAATTCTCATGCATGTCTTCTAATGGATAAATGTATACTTTTCTGTTGGGAATATGCCTAAGAGTGGAATTATTTCACAGAATGTGCATATGTTCAGCTCTCGTAGATACTGCCAAACAGTTTTCCAAAGTAGCTGCACTAATTTACATCCTCACTAGCAGTGCCTGAGAGTTCCAGTTACTCCACACCATGGCCAACCCTCGGTTTTGTTGGATTTCATCACAGCCATTCTGGTGGGGGTGTGGTTCTGTTGCTTTGAGGTTTCAGTTTGCATTCCTTTGACAGCTAATGTTCCCGTTTTCTACCTAGTTGTTTGTTTTTTCTCTTTTTGATTTGTAGTAGCTCTTTATATATTCTTTGTAGTTATAGATTACAAACATCTCTGTGGGTCTTTTTTTTTTTTAAATAGTCTTTTAATGAATAGATGTTCTTAATGTAGTCTAATTGATCAATAAATATCTTCATATTTTAAATCATTTTTGCATCACATTTAGTTCTGTAAAACCTTAGAGGTGTAATACACAAATATATAAAGTTGTAAAACATTAACAAATTTAAAACCTGGGAAATATAAATTTAGAAGATTTAGACCAGGGAGATAATCAGACACAAATAAGCCATATAATTCTCTGAACGTGTTATAATTGAGCAATAAATATTGTTTAAAGCTGCTTAGAAGTCGAAACTCAGATGGAAACATGGTCCGTCATCTGGCTCTCATTTATCTGAGCTCTTCAGACAGTTTTGTGAGGGTCAAGGCAGACAGATGAGGGATGGATGGAATGGGAGGTATGTTCACATGGAACTGGTAATTTGCACATCAGAGCTAACCAGGTGTGTCTTCTGTTACAGGTTATTCAACGATAGTTATGACCTCCCGGTTACGTGCGTTCGGTGGAAGAATTAATAACATACGCACCTCAGAATTACCCAAAGAGAAAACTCGAGCCGAAGTCATCTGCAGCGTCTGCTTTCTAGATGGCTTGGTACAGACCTTTAAAGTTAATGTGAGTTCTCCAAATTTAATTTTTTCTGAATTAATGCCCCTAAGAAATACTTTTCATCTGTTGGTTTATAAAATGAAGAGAAAGAATTTTAAATTAAAAGCTTGAGGTCTCAGATCTTGTCTGTTGAGATTGAACTAGAAATATCCTTAAAAACTTTGTCCATATTCTTACCTCTACCAGGCGTGTCTTCCCCCCTCTTCTTTGTGAACTGTGTGAGTCTTAGATGTTACTGCTTCTGTGACGTCTTTGACTTCCTGGGCTGATTCTCCAATAATGGTGCCCTGTGTGTGCTTTATTAGGGCCCCTGTCGCATTGCATGAATAGTAGTTGTAATTATCAGGTTATATGTCACTCTTTAAACCGTGAGCTCCTGGAGAATGGCAATAGTGTCGTTTCCCCTGTACCTGCCTCACAGCAGGTACTCATTAAATGTGCAAATGGTAAATGGTGGGTCCTTTCTGGAGGGTAGTGAGATGGTTAGCCTCCCAGATGGCAGGGCTCAGGGAGGGCCTGGCTTGTCCCACCTCAAGCAGAGGCAGGGCTAGAAACGGGGTCTCCGGTCCTACGTCAGCAGTAAGATGCCTAACCAGTAGCCGTCCCTGCTGCCTCGCCCCTCCCCAATCACCACTGGGCGTTCGTGACCTTTGCCTGTCTCTCCCATCCTCTGACCGGTTCTAAGGGGGTCACCTCCGACCCCAGATTGGCTGCCAGCATCTGCCCCAGCCTGGAAAATTCAGTGTGCAATGGAAGGCGTCAGAAAGAGAAGAGAGGGTACCGGAGAACAACTCGGGGATGTTAGAAGGCCACAAGAATTTGAAGGGTGACAAAAAGTGGTCCCTGCTGGGGTCTTCCCCCACCCATGAGTTTGCCTCCTGCTGACCCCAGGTCACTGTGGACGTTGATGGCTGAGCAGGCAAGAGAAGAGGGCATGTGCATGAAGTCGCTGCACAGGGGCTGCTCGGTAGGGGCCCCGAAGGTCTCTTCCAGTTGCTGTAAACTGACAGCTTAGTTCAGACATGGCTCCTTTGTTAAAATTTATGTTGTCTGTCTTGGAGCTATTCCTCAGTCATATATCTTCTTCCTGACAAGAACATGAATGTTTATTCAGCACATGTTTACTGAGCACCTACTACATGCCAGGCTTTGTTCTGGGTACAGAGAATACAGCAGTGAACAAAACAGAGCAAAATCCCTGCCCTTTTAAAGCTTACATCCTAGAGGGAGGAAACAGACCATAAACAAATGTGTACTATGTCAGGCGGTATCATGTACTTAGAAGAAAAATCGGGATAAGGAAGGTGGAAAGTTAAGGACAGGGCAAGGGGTGGGGTTGTCATTTGTCATTTTATAGAAGCAATTCAGGAGGACCTCACTCATACAGTGACATTTCAGAGGTGACCTAAAGGAAGTAAGGGGAGGAACTGTGTGGTTCTCAGGAGGAAGCACGTTCCAGGTAGAAGCAACAGCAGAGCAAAGGCCCTGAGGTGGGGTCCCCTTCCCTTAGTGTGGTTGCAGAACAGGCTAGAAGCCAGTGCATCTGGAGTGTAATGAGGAAGGAGGAGGGGAGGAGGCGATGAGGTCAGAGAGTTAACAGGTGATGGGTTGTTTCGTTTTGTTTTTCCTAACAGCCGTTTCAAGAGATTTTCTTTAATATTGTAAAATATTGTGAAGGACAAGTGAGCTAGCAGACACACATGCACCAATGTGCCTTTCGACAAGATTATCCCCTACTCCCACATCAAGGTGGACGTGAGTTTGGAGAAATGAACACAGCAGATGGTACAGACAGAAAAAACACCGATAAAAAGGATGGAATGTGACACTGTACTTGGTCATTTTCCTATGTCTCAGCAGAACAGTTTGGTGCAAATAGTTAATTTTATCCTCTTTTCCACTTAAGTCTGGAGAAAAACCCAACTTTTTTGGTAATAAAATAGGTGTTTTTTTTGTTCGTTTGTTTGTTTGTTTTTTGCGGTACGCGGGCCTCTCACTGCTGTGGCCTCTCCCGTTGCGGAGCACAGGCTCCAGACGCGCAGGCTCAGCGGCCATGGCTCACGGGCCCAGCCGCTCCGCGGCACGTGGGATCTTCCCGGACCGGGGCATGAACCCGCGTCCCCACCTGCATCGGCGGCAGGCGGACTCTCAACCACTGCGCCACCAGGGAAGCCCTGTTTTGTTACTTTTTTACCGTACCTTTCTCCTCTTGAGGGGGATAGGGGGATTGTGTAGAGCCTTGCAGGTCATTCTGAGCACTGGCTCTGTTCTGCATTGGTGAGTTTAGGCAGAGACCTGACGTGATCTGACTCAAGTATCACTCTGGATGCTCAGTCGACATTAAACTGGGGGAGGGGGTGGGGCAAGGGCTGAGACTGTTAGTCTGTGGGAGAGACCATGACGATTGGACAGGGCCGTTAATGCGGCTAAGAGTAAACCAAGTCTGGAAATACTTTAAAGGTGGAACCAGTGGGATTTGGGATGTGAAAGAGGCCTCAAGGTGACTCCCAAGGTTTTTGGCCTGAGCAGTGGGTAAGATGGAGCTGCAATTTGTAGAAATGGGAAAGCCTGCAAGACAAGCGGGTTTGGGGGCAGAAATAACTGGTTCTGTTTCGGACGTGGTGAGTTTGAGGTGCCTGTTACTCGTCTGCGTAGAAATGGCACTAGGTATACAAAAGAGGAGTTTAAGGGAAGGGTTTAGGCTGGGATACATATGTGGGTCTTACCAGGGTAGATGTGGTACTTCCCGATCACTTGAGAAGTGAATAGAGAGAAGATACGAATGAGGTTCGCTGTTCAACGGTTGGGGGATGAGGAGCAAGCAGGACTGTTCAGGGCGATAAGGGGAGGCCAAGAGGGAATGAGAATCCCAGGTAAGAATGTATTCTAAAGAGGAGGAGCGATGAGCCCTGTAGAGGAGAATGCGGACGGCGTCCGCCCAGAGTGATAATCACGTGCCTGGCGTTCAGTGGGCACCCAGTCATCTTCAGTTATGAATGCCGTTGTTATTGTCACTGCTGCCTGTGCTGCCCCCCAAGCTTCCAGCAGCCTGGTCAAGGCTGACTCACACTGAGCTTCAATTTGAGGGCCTGGTTGCAACTTCGAATCTCCGTCACTTTATATGTTTCTGCTCCTGGGGGTCATTTGCGCTGTCGCATTCAGATCCTTCAGCCCAGGTCGTCTTATGACCAGGAGCGGCCATCCTCGGGGAAGCTGACCTGGACGTTGGCTGTTCTTAGCTCCGCCCAGAGAGCGAGGCTCTCACGGACAGTGACCTGATGTAGCCGAGATGACCTCTTGTGGGGCAGGCGCCAGGCCGGGAGGGCTGTTCTTATCAAAAATGTATCTTGTTTCAATTCCTTTTGAGAACTCGGTGAGTTGTGCAGATACTGGAATGGATGAATTATGCACTCCGGAGGGGAGAGTGGCAGTGTGCTGGTAACGTGCAGACTCTGGCATCAGACCCTCCTGAGTCAGGCAGTCAGACCATCCGTCGGCTGACAGCACAGGGCACGGAGCCTCTGAGGCCTCTGTTTGCTCATCAGCACAGGGGACGGTGTTGACAGCTATGTGACATGGCTGCGAAGATCGGAGATCATATATAAAAAGTGCAGAATACCGTGGCAGGCTCCTTGTAGATGCCCAATAGATTAAAGTTATTAATAATATATATTAAACATAATATAAAATCATACAAATAATCATTTCAACAAGGGGAGCAGATAGCTCTTTGCATCAGGAGTATCTCGTAATTTGGAGGGAGACTATCTCATGATTTAGAGTATGTGGACCAGGTCATCTTTTCCACACTGTCCTGATTCCCCTGGGATGGGAGGTGACCTGGGAAGTGGAGGAAGCCGCGGGAACCAGGGCCCTGGGGCAGGAAGGGGGATGTGTTCAGGATACAGGCGGTGCCTTGTGTTCCCACACTGTGGGCCAGATAAGTGAGACTGTCCCAGAGAAGCGGCTGCAGGAGGCAGTGACAGTTATCTAATTCTCCTCATCCTGGTCATGGTGACCTGTTTTCAGGTACATCATCTGCTATCAGGTGCTCAAAAAAGCTGCCTTTGCTGGTTCTATACATGGTCTCTTTCTGACTCACATTGCCCTTAAGTTAAATGGTTTGGTTCAAAGGATCCCCAAGAAGTCTGCCTGTTAAAGGAGAATTCGCGATTCCCCGCCCCTGTGCCTTCGTGCTGCGCCGTCCGCTTTGATGCCTTTTCTTAGCTCCTGCTCCTGGAGGGAGGGCGTGGCACTCAGCCCCGTCAGCCTCCCAGAACCAGGTCAGGGACTGCTTTCCCTTGTCCCCAGGTTGAGTCACCCATTTGTGTTGTCCTGTGTGTGTTCACTGTGCCCCGAGTGTTCTTTGGCACTTGACACACCGGGTTATGGTCGCTGCTTGCACGGCTGGCCTCTCCAGGAGGGCAGGAAAGGGACACGTGTTATGGCTCTGTCCCCACGCCCAGCACTGTGCCCGGTCTGAAAACACTGAGTGGCGAAGGTGTCCGAGTCCTGCTCTGGACATGAAGTGTGGTTGAAAGTCTCCGCTGGCTTCTCACCTCGGATGCCGGGGAGTAGGGAAGCAGATAATCCTCCAGTGTCCCTTGCCAGGTCACTTGGAGGGTATTTCCAATGGCATTTGCGTATTCTTAGCTGTCTTCCTTCATGCTGTTATAGAGTTTTCCTCCCTATGTATACTTGCATGGCGCCTGAGGATTAACATTTTGCTGTGGATAATCCGTGGGTAGGTCACGGAGAGTTTACTGTCATTGGGATACCTGAGTTTTCCAATTTAGACATGATCACTTGGGAATCTCAGCTAAGAGGAAGGAAGAAATCTTAGAAAATTAAATTTATCTCATTCTCTTAAATCATATTTATCTTAGCCCTACTTTCCATATGTTCCGTGGGGCTTCTTAATTTGGAATTTATTAAATTCTTATTAATATTTCTTATCGTAGGGTACCTGTGTGCATGAAATCTCTCTGCGTGTTTTAACACCTTCTTGCCTGCAATAAAGACTTTTAAACACCAGTTCTTAATTTGTTTTAAAATTTTGCCCACTGGACATTTTTTTCCCCTAGAAACAAGATACTGGTCAAGTCCTCCTGGATATGGCTTACAACTACTTGGGCGTGACGGAAAAGGAGTATTTTGGTTTGCAGCACGGTGATGACTCAGTGGACCCTCCTGTGAGTACCCTCCCTTGAAGACGTGCTGGGCCCCCCCCACACTGCGTTTGGTTTTATATCTTATGTTTTCTTACCCAACAGAGATGGCTTGAAGCAAACAAACCCATCAGGAAGCAGTTAAAAGGTGGGTGTGACCTTCCCGTGTCGGTTGAACACTAGGTATTAGTGTATCGTGGCCCATTTCTCTCCTCCAATCCTCAGCGTTAACATCTGGTACCTGGATTCCAGGTGGTCCAAGAGACGTGAGTAAGCTGACTTCTCCCTGTCTGACTTCTAAGCTAGCAGAGATGCTTCCAGGTCAGCCCCCAAGGGTCCTCACCAAATATGGGCAAGAAAGGGAAAGGTGAAAGAAGACAGCTAAGAGCAAAGGAGTTCCACATTTCATTTTATAGGAAAGAAAGGGGAAGAAGGATGGCCTCTTTCAGCCCAGTGTGAGAGCCAGGATGGGAAAGACACACACACACACACACACACACACACACAGTCCTTTTCAACAGCACAGTTCCATTCACAGGAAACAAAGGCATGGGTGAATAGTGTCACAGACATAACATGTGAGTGTATCCCAGTGCTGTAGGTTAATTCCCAGTTAGGTGGGTTTTCGAACCACACCTCACTGCACCCTTCACCTGGTTTTCCAACATCACGCTCTCTGTTCCCCTTTATGCGCCTTATGCCCCAAACCTGGCCGACATGCAGGGCCTCACATGCACCCAGAGTTACAGAACCACCCACAGGTACCCAGGTACCTGTACACAGGTACGTTCATAGGTGCACACACACCATTAGAGTCTTTGATACAATCCAGAGATAAAGACAGAGGGTACTACTGAGAAGGGAGAGTGGAGCCCATAATGAACTAATGTAGAGGAGATCAGTGAGGGAGGCAGGGTGGGAAAAGCTTGAGTTTCACAGAGCCAGAAAGTGCTGGAAAGGGCCCGTGAATATATACTGAGTGATGGAGAGGAGAGAAATTGACGTGAAGAAGAGCATGGGATCTTAGCAACACAATCTGATCTTCTCCTGTTCCCACATCCCGCAAAAGAAATGGGCTAATTTTATCCTTGCAAGCAAATGGACTCTTGGCGTTGTTGCAGAAAGCCATATTTGAGTATATTAGCTGTGTAATATTTGCTACTGTATTAATCATTTTTAGAATTCACTTTGCATTAAAAGCATGAAATATTTTGCAGTATAAAAATGATTTTAAAATGCAGAATCAAAAGACTCAGTGCTATAAGTCTGGTGTTATCATTGGCTGTGTGACCCAAGGCAGGTCACATCTCCAAGCCTGGTGGCTAACCTGTTACACAGTGCAGTCGACAGCAGCCTAGCTTACTTATAGTCATGGCGGTATTCAAATTCAAGAGTGTACGTGAAAACATTTGAAAAGTATGAAATCATTATATATGTGGGAGATAACTTCTTTGTGAGTTTTGTATAATCTGTTGATTTAAGGATTTTTAAAGTTCCTAATACAGATAATGGAGTGCATTGTTTGAACACATCCCTAAGTTAAACGTGTAATAGGAATTAGATGATTCCTCATTTTATGATAATGTTGCAAAAATATTTTACTTCTTGTAGACTTGGAGATTTCTGAACACTTAACTAACTTATGCACTCCTTTTTTGAAATTAGTCCTTTTATTGATGGAAAAAGCTGTGGTCTAGTGAAAAATGCATCACTTATGGGAGAGTAGCCGCTTACATACATTGACTTTTTTAAAGGGAAAATTTAATTTGTTTTTGAAAAATGTTGTAGGAGGTATCCCCTGTACCCTGCATTTTCGAGTAAGATTTTTTATACCTGATCCCAACACACTGCAGCAAGAACAAACCAGGTAATAATATATTTTTTTAAGTTTTCTATTTAGTATATAAAAATGAGTAACGACTGAAAATGTACTTTTTAATTTATCACTGTGGCCAGATACTTCACTTGGGTATAACTGCACCAACAGTTACGATCCCAGTAAAAATTGGGGGGTACATGTATTGAAATTTTAATCGGCGAATTCATTTTCATCTTGAGCCTCCTGATTTGGTGCCGTTCCCAGCACGCTCCCATCCACCACCTCCTACCTTCCCCTTCCGTCCAGCTGCCCCTGCATGTTGAGCACCTGTGTTCAGAGAACGCAGTTATTTTCTGCTACTGCGACCAGGAATTTTGTAAAACAGTCATCTACCTGTCAAACAGCGCAGTGTCTCTGAGGGGCTAGGATTGAGCTCTTTAGGAGAACGAGAGGTCTCTGAACTGAGAACTTTCTTCAGATCCCCTGTTGGTAGGAGGTGCAAAGGAGAGGAGGCCGGGTCAGTGTCTTTCCTCCGCCTCCGTGAATCTGTGGTTCAGGCAATCCGTGAAACAGATAAGGGCCAGAGGGCTGTGAGGCTTGTTTACCCCTCCAGGCTTGGCGCAGGTCCTGGCCCTGGTGCTGAGCTGGCACGTGGGCTTTCTGGATGGGGACCCGTGTTTGGAATGGCGGGGCAGGCACAGGAAAGTTGTTGTTGTTTGAACATGGACTCTGCAAGCTCCCCTGGGCCTCTCCTTCCCCTCCCCCCAGGGCAACAGCCAGCCCTTCTATTATTGAAACGTTTGTTTTTCTTAGGGAGGGAAACTCTTCCACCAGAAAAAAAAGCAATGAATGTTCAGGATTATTGAATCCTATCCTGTGCCCATTGTGGCCATGAGACCGTCACCAAGGAGGAGACATTAACTTGGACATAAAGTGCTCTTTCGTTTTTTCCTTTTTTAAAAAAAAAATGGTAATCACATGATCACATTTCAACTTTTAATGTGTTTAAAGGCCAAATATTAGCCTATTACTATTTTGTCTTCTTTGTACACCTCTTCCCTCTACAATAGAAGACGTTGGAGATTTGACTTGTGTTTACTATTAGGTTAAATTTTAAGCGGGTATAAGATGTCCTGCATGACTCATTGGGTAACCACAGGACATACACGTGATGCCTTGAGTTTTCCTCATAACAGCTTTTCATGCTGGTGGACTAAGGGGGAGTGTAGGACACTCAACAGGTCAACTCATAAGCCGGTGGATGCAAAGTGGTGACATGATCTATGAGAATATGTTGGAAATGATCCCCATCAAGGGATGCTTTAAAAAATGTCACGATGGATTTTATATGTGTGTGTGTGTGTGTGTGTGTGTGTGTGTGTCTATATATCTATTTATATATATATATATAAAAATTTGTGTGTGTGTTTTTAACCAGTGGTATTCTTTTTGTAATCATAACCCCACAATAAAAAATATATTTTGCTTTGTAGTGCATTACACAGATATATGTAAATTACTGAAGCAGACATTTGATGAAACAATAGTAACTGCAAAGCACTCTTAAGTGTTCTATTTTCTTCTTTTAAAATGTCACTTGAGGCTCATTAAATTGATTTTATTACCCACTGAAGGGTTCCCACCCCAAGTGTGACCTGCACTGCCTAAACCAGTGGTCGTCCCTCATTGCCCTGTGTCCTCCCTGAGATGCTGCAGCCCTAGGGTTGCGGCTGCCAGAGTACCTTAGTGAAGGAATCACTCACACCAGCCTAACCCGGGAGCCCTTCTCCAGGGCTCCTCTCGGTCGTTGGACGCTACTTCCATACCCCACAGGAAAGCTTCTTTCTGCTGAGCCTCCCTGTCATTTGAGGGACATCTGAGGAAAGGTAGGGAGCTCAGGATGGAGAGAAGGCTCGGAGAAATGAGGGCTGCTTTCAGATCTTCCAAGGGCCGTCATGGGAGAGGGGGAATTAGATGTGCTCCGTGGTAGCATTACGGCCAGTGGGTGGAGACTACAGAGAGGCAGATTTTGTCTGAAGACAAATAATAGACTAAATTTTGTTCTTACCTAAGTTCCAGATAAAATTCGGTTTGTCCGTGTCCCTCCTAAAAGTCACTAGTTCCAGACTGACACTCAACCCCACTGCTCAACCTCCCATGGCAAGATGGGTGATCCCCGCAGCGTGGAGTAGAGCGTAGCTGTCGCCTTCCGGGATGTGGGTAACAGATTTCTCTTAACACAGCAGGAGTCATGGCAGCAGCCGCCCCTGTGGCTCCTACAGAGCTGGGGGATAGCCAGGACCGCCAGATCTTCTTCTTAGGCTGGGCCAGGCTTCCACCATTAATTCAAAAAAGTATTGTTTTGTTTTGTTTTTACTTTAATGAAGAGTTTTGCCTATATTCCTGGCACTTAGTGTCTTTTTTTTTTTTTGAGGTATAGTTGATGTACAGTATTATACATAGTATCTTTTTTAAGCCCCAGCTCTGTAGCCTATGCAAAAATAAGTCCCCCTTTAAAGAAATTTCGCTCTCAAGGGTCAAAGGAGGAGTATAGAGGTGGCGTTTGTTCTTTGCTGTTTGTTTACTAAGGATCTAGGCAGGGAGGCGTTTATTGCTTTTTTCTGAAGTTGAGGTCATGGATTGGGGTGCACTCCAGAAATGAGCGTTAACATTTCTGAAGTCAGGCACACAAGCATCTCTTTTAAATGACTTCCTCTATTCTAATTGCTAACCTCCTCCTTGATTATGAGCCTCCACAGTGGCTGTTTCTGATAAATTTAGACCGTTCTAAACAGACTTTCATATACGGGCAGTCTCAGAATCAGGCTCTCTCAGGATTCCTAGGAGGTCTCCTAAGTTTGGGCATCAGTCCACTATTCTGATCTCTTTGTGTATGGTGTCCTGGGGTTGACTCAGAAACGTTGCTGAATATATGACAAAGTAGCATTTGATGAACAGGGGTCTCCAGGTTCCCGTTCTCCTTTACATCCCGAGGAAGACCTTCCGCTTAGCTGCGCTTGTCAGTGAAAGTCCAGATTTACCACTGGATTATCTGTAATTCTGTTCCTTCTCTTCTTTCTCTCAGTAGCATTATAGGAGGAGAGAACACTTAATTCCAGTTGAATTTCAGCTTGGATAAATATAGGAACAAACTAGAAAGGACCAATTGTGTTCTCCTAGGTGGAAAAGATAGAGATTCCAACTTGGAATAAGAGAGAATCAGCAAATGTATGTCACACCGTCTCTCGATGCTCTGGCATTCAACACGGTAGGAGTAGTTGGTGATAATTACAGTCAAAGTAATATCAGAGTTAGGAGATGGATCCTAAGCTTTTTAGTCATTAGACGCAGAAGACATTTGTAGCGTAATCAGATTGTTTTCATAGCATGCGTGTCCAGCTTGAAATAAGACATAACTGACCCCACATAACCCATACGGCATCCGTATCCTCATCAGGAAAAAATGGAGGTAGCGGTACCCACCGCAGAGTTCTTATGAGGTTGAAATGAGGCGATAAGTTGTGAAGTACCACACACAGCCCAGAACTGTGCAAATACAGGGTTGTAATACCATGTGACATATTCATATCTCAAAACACTGGCGCCCTTAACCTTTAAACATAGAAATTAGAAGGAATATTGAGGCTGGTTTGTCTAAATTGCTGAAATTCTCTCTCCTGGCCCTGAACACTTCTGCTGCATCTGTATTGGATTTCAAGAATTTTCCCTTTTGTCACCTTGGCCAGATGCTGGAATGTCTATCTCGTGTGAATCCAGGCTTTTAACAGAGAGTGGGAGCCAGAGGTCAAGTGTCACATGTATGCCGTGTCCCTAAATATATCGGTCTCCAGGGCCCTTCCCGGCCTGCACAGCACTGCTGATGCCTTGTGATTCCTGCTCCCTGGGTGGAGGGTCCTGTGACTAGCCAAGAACTTACCAAGTTCTGCCCACAAATCAAGTCCCGGGTTTTGAAGCGACATTGCTGGGAGCTCACAGACGAGTGCAGGATTCACCCGGGAGGCCTGGCAGCCGGTCGATGACTGATGTCTGTGTTTTTGCTCGGGCACCCCCACTTCCTGGGACACAGGAAAAAGCCCAGCTGGGTGTTTGCAGCCCAGCCAAGGAGGTGTCTTCCTAGATGCTCCACCTCTCAGTAAGTTCACACAGAGGGAACATAGCTGTGCAGATGTTCAGAACAGCAGCCCCTCGGTGTGCGGGGGGCTGCCCGTGGGTCCTGGTGCTCTCAGCTACCCCGAGCTTGACTGGGAAGGTCCAGGCCGGGGGCGCTCATTGGCAGCAGCAGCAGCTGGTTGTTTGGGCTGCTCTCACCCCGTCGATCCTTGCTCAGCCATCCCAAGACAGCATGTGTGGGCGGGAGGCTGGCTGGAGATGCCCCCCGCCACTACCCACTGAGACTAAAGCAGCCTCACGAGCCATTATTACAGAAGGGGCGTAGCTTTGCAGTGTACTAAACAGCGCCTGATACTTGAGACAAAAATACGTCTGTGTGTGTTTTGTTTTTCACATGTGCAGGTCTTGTCCTTGACTCATCAGTTTTTTTTTTTTTGGGGGGGCTTATTTTGAGTATTGTGAATTAATGAAAACAATTATTTCATAGGCATTTGTATTTCTTACAACTGAAGATGGATATTTGTGAAGGAAGGTAAGGAGACTTTCGCATTCTTCTTTTCCTGTCAGTCGCCCCAGACTACTGAAATTCCTGGGTTTAATCTAATGAGCGTACATTTCTGGTAACAAATGAAATGTAAACAAAGAATGGATGTTGAAAGCAGCATCCTGCTTGGGACATCTGTTTCTAGCTTGGTCTGGATTGGGAGAAGCTGAGGATTGACAAACCTCATTTCATGTTGTTTCAATTTTACTACAGAAGGTACAGTTATCTTTCTGGTAAAGACCTGAGACACTTTAAAGGGAGGGAAGGAGAAATCCCGAATGTAAAATGGGCGTCATGCAGGAAAGCAGATCAAGCCCAATTTAGGTCCCCTCTGAGCCCCTTAGTACCCGGAGGTGACTCGTTTTCTCTCTGGGGAACTTGGCTGGAAGACAGGAGCACCGTCCGTGCTTCAGCACTTCTTGTGCATCAGGACCACCTCTGTGGCTGCCAAGTATCTGAGAGGCTCAGGAAGGGAGGAGAAATTCCAAGTCAGTGGTCCCTGAGCCACCTTCTCCAAATCCAGAGTCTTTTCTTGACTTACCGGAGACACTGCAGCAGGTAAACGGGTGGGAACAGCCACGTCTTACTCTCATCCCCCCCACCCCCTCTTTCCTTTTACTGAGGAGGGTCTTCAGAAGCCTCCACTGTGCTTCCATGAGGGACCTGGCAGTCTGGTTGGGGAAATGAGACAGAAGCTCGTGAAGCAGTTGGGACCAATATTGGCGCTGGAGACCACAGCCATCATAGGTTTTAGGAGAAGGAGATGCCAGTGTGAGCTTTGTGAAGAGTGTGGATTGCTGTGATGAGTTGGGGTTGGTGGAGAAGTGAGGAGTTAAATCTCACTGGGCAGAGAGGACATCGCCTCCCCCCGCACAGTCCCAGTTGGAGACCACATGCTGGGGGCCTACAGCAGAACAGAGAGAGAGAGGGCTCTTCCTGTCAAACAGAGACCTGCGTCTTGGATCCACCAGGCAGAGGAGCGCTGTTGAGGGTTTTAAGCAGGAGGGATTTGGCAGGAACAGAATCTATAAAAAAGGCTAGAAGAGGATGAGGGGCTTTCCTGAGGCAGCCTTCTTATATTTCAGGGTAACTCTAGGTTGAAATTACCCACCCCTGTCCTGGGTCCAGGCTGCCTTCTGTGGTGATAGAACTAGTTGTGTCTTTCTTTTCTACACACTGACTTGTTTTCCCCACACGTATTTTGCAAATAGCACGTGTTACGAGATGGGCACTGACTGTGCTGGTCCAGTGAGGCTGGGCCCACTACCCCTACCTCGGGAGCTTCCAGTCTAGCTCTCCAAGTATTAGAAATTGGTCGTCTTCATTTGTTCTTATGCCCCTTGTTTTGTGTGAATCAGTAGAAACCTGTTGAGGGCCACGTCCTGGCTTAGATCCCTGACATCCTTGTCAGGCCTGCAGGTGGCCCTCATCTCTCTGGGGGTGGTGGGCTGTCAGGGTGGCATCCAGCCCTTAGTAGCCGTGGATCTCTTGACAGATTCAGTGGATCTAGTTAGCGTTTCTCCCGGGTTTGAAAGGTCTTGTTCATCCCCTCCTCCCTGAAGAGATAGGTGATCTTGTCTGACAGATGGAGACCCTAAAGCCTGGAGAGTAAGGAAGAAATCTGTCAAAGAACATGGTGTTCTTTAGTTTTTTATTTACACGATTCTTTGGAAATGTTGTTCTTCCTGACTTACTCATAGGATTGTTTCTTCCGTCTAGACTGAACCCCCTTAACCACTCTCCTAAGCTTTTCCCTGAATCCCATTCACCTGCTCTTCCTGTAGCAAGGACACCAGCTTAGATTTCATTGAAGCCCATCTTGGTAGGAAAGTGAATGCTGATGTTTGCTCTTCCTTTGGGCTCTCTGGGTCTCCAGATGATCGAATATATAGCAAGCATCCCTAGACATATCTGCATTTAGAAGTTCTAGCAAGAACACATGGTTACTTGAAAGATGGGGCCCCTCAGATAGGGAAGGCTACCTTCATATTTATATGCAGCTTCAGGACCAGCACACAGCACAGCTGACCAGAAGGGAAACGCTGGTGAGCCAACCAGATTAGTCAGAGAGCTGGGGGTGACTCATATCTTGGGAACTTCATGGGCTGCCATGGAAACTGCATGTTTTCTCCACTTTCCACAAGGTTGCTGGGAAGAATGCTTTTAAAATCTGGGTCCCCCCCCAACCCTGCAAGCCCTCACTCCTGCTTCTGTTCATGTGTTCCTCCACCTGGCAGTGATTCCTGCCCCAGATCTGCTGGCTGAGCTCCTAGGCAGACCGTGAAATCTGTAGCTGAATGGAGAGAAGGGAGCAACCAGGATGATTTGGACTATGACAGAGATGGCGTCATTGGCTGAAACAGGGTGTTTGGGAGGGCAGTGAGCTTAAGAGGAAAGAAGGAAAACAAGTCCAACCTTGGGTTCATGGATTTCTAGTGGATGGCAGGAAAACTGAGGGGTAGCAGACCATTCCCTCTAGATGGGAAGTTTCAGGAGAGTGAATAGATTTAGGAATCTTAAGTCACTGTAACTAATTAAGTAATTCAAAGCTCACAGGAGTTTTAAAATTCAGAATACTTTTCTGTTTTTCCCTTCTAAGAGGATGTCATCCTTCTAGAAAGCAGGTAATCAGGAATCAGAGTCAGCAGAACTCAGGAATTCAGTTAGCCCTATGAGAAGTCTCACATCTTTACCAGAAAGAGACAAAGGCTGGCTGCCCATTGATGTAAGAGTACACTTTTCTCACTTTTTCTCTTAGTGATATGAGCCTGACCTTTCTTGACCAGCCAAACCCTGGCCAACATTAAACCTTTAGCCTCATGGTATTTGTATTAATATATATTATTTTAAACATGGAAAAATTCTCTTTTAATTTCAAAGACTCTTTAGTGTGTTACTTTTATCTTTTTGAGATTGAGTATCCTAAAATTCCTTGTTATTATTCATGATTTTTTTTAATGGTTAATCCAAGAAAAAGACATGTATTACCCATAATCCATAAGTGTTTTGGGCTGTTGTGGGTTCTGGTGACTTTCCTAATATGTTTTTCTTCTGACAGGTTAACCTGCCCTCTTAACTCAGCGGTGGTTCTAGCATCCTATGCAGTACAGTGTAAGTCACAAAGGAGCATTTCGCAGATGGACAGCTTGTTCTGACTGGTATATTAAGAAACTCACTGGCCTATCCTGTTTGACCGAGTCCCTTCCCCAGGAATCCTGTTGGGCAGCATATCTTTGGCTATCCAGATATTTCCACTTTCAACCTGACTTAGGCTCTCCTCCAGCTCAGGGATGTTGGATTAGGGAAAGTGGGGTTTCCTCCCAGAGGAGCCCAGAAAACAGAAGATACCTATCGCACGTTACATTTTCCAGAGCCTTCACTCACAATTGGATTTGACTCTATAACAAAATCCCGGTGGGGCAGATACTTCTACCAGTCACTTCTTATAGATGTGGAAACTAAGACCCGGACAGGTTCAGGAATTTGCTGGAGGTCACTCCTGCTACTGGCTTGGTGCTCCTCTGAAACACTGCTGGGATCCTAGAAGTTTATTTTTAGTTTCAGTAGAGCGACGGCTTATATATTGGCCTGGAGCAGCAGTGCCCAATAGAAATACAATGGGAGCTTCATGTGTAACTTTAAGCTTTCTGGTAGCCATGTTAAAGTAAAATGAAATACATTGTATTAATATATCTAAAATATTATTTTAATATGTAAAAATTTTGATATTTTACGTTGTTTTCATACTGAGTCTTTGAAAACTAGTCCAGATTTTACACTTCAGCACATCTCAACTTGGACTAGCCGCATTTCAAGTGCTCAGTAGCTCTGTGTGGCTAGTGGCTGCCATGTGGGATGGAAAGTCCAGATGGAATTTTCCATCAAGGCCTGTTTATGCTGAAGTAAGAATCCACTTCTTCAGTCACCAAAATATTATTAGAATATGTTCCACGTGAGGCCCCGTGGTAGGTGCCGGCTGTGTCCGAGGACAGGGTGCATAGCCAGATGGAAGGTAAAATATCAATTTATAGTTAACTGGCTGTGTGAGGCCAGTGCAGTAACCAACTAGAACTCGTGCAGAGCTGCTCGAGACTTCCTGTGAGCCCCACGCCACCTGGGCTCGTTCCCCTCTTGGCCGACTGCATGGTGGGGAGTTAAGAGAGCTCGGTGGACTGGTCTTGGCAGGCACTGGCTGAACTCCTCCCTCTGCTTTGGTCTCAGAAGAGGCAAAATAGCAAGAGAATGCTGACAGGGATTCCTGATGTGGCCTTAAGCCTGCCTGTTCCCCAGGAGCAAAGAACAGACATGGGAGGGGTGAAGGGCAAGGTGGCTGCATGATACCAGGAAGTAGAAGAGAGACCTTTAGCAGTGGCCCTGCTCACTAGTAAGACAAGACCCAGTGTTCATCTCCCTGTATAACCTACATCTCCTTCTCCCCAATGGGAGACTCAGGAGAGATGGCACAGTGACGAGCTTGGGTGGATCTGAAAGTTCCCCTCTCCCTATAATACATCTGGAACAGGCCTGGCCATGTCACATCCACATAGGAAATGGCATGGTCACCAGTCAGCTGTATTCTTAGTAGTCACTAGACCCAGTGGACTCCATCGCTGCCGGGCTGATCAGCGGAGGAGAGTGAGTTTTCCTACATCTCAGAGCAAGTTTGGTGCTCACATCTAAAGCTTCAGGTTTGAAGGCCAGGAACACTAGAAAGGACATAGCTTTGGATGCAAACTCCATTTAAATCTGGCTCTCCTTCTGCTTCTAACATGGTGTTACCTCTCTGAATCTCAGTTTTTTCACATGTAAGATGGAGGTGATGCTGGCGATTATGACAACTTGGAATATGACTGCTTGGTTCAAGTATCACCTCTGAAGGTGATAAGTAGAAACTCTTTAGTGGACCATCGCTGTTGACTGAGTCAGTGAGAGCACAGGCTGAAGCCATAGTACCTGGGTCTTGTCTCTTCCACTTACACCTACCTGACCTTGAGCCTCTTCAGGCCTCAGCTTCATCGGTCAAGTGGAGGTGATAATAATATCTAATCATAGGTTTGAGTGAAGATGAAATATACTTAAAGGTCTTAGAATATGCCTGGCTCGTGGCAAGTGTTGTTTAACTCGTGCTATAATTTGTGCCCAGAAGAAAGCTGTCTAAAGAACGGCCTGTTGTAAACAAACTATTCAGAGTACCAAATAAAATTCCTAAGCTTCAATAGTCAGGTTTCCCTCTGCAAAGGACTGATAGAATGGGGGCTAAAGGAAGTTACGAGCACCTAAAAAGTCCAGGCTAGCTGCAGTAGAAACATTAGTGTGACTATCATGCTAATAATATCATAGGTTGTCAGGCGAGCAGTTTTAAGTAGAAATTTCTTATTCCTCCACCCTCAAACATATACCTACACACACTTTTCCATACTTCTGTGCATATATTTCTATAAGATTAATTCTTGGATATGAAATAGCTGGATCAAAGATTAAGCCTAGGGACTTACCTGGCGGTCCAGTGGTTAAGACGCCGTGCTTCCAATGCAGGGGGCGGTGGTTTGATCCATGGTTAGGGAACTAAGAGCCCACATGCCACAGGGCGTGGCCAAAAAGTAAAAAAAAAAAGAAAAATAAGAGTAAGCCTAAATTTTATCTGATACGGTTTGCCACATTGTCCCAGAGGGACATCTGATATGAAGACAAACCTACCAGTAGCCAGTGAAGCCAAAACAAAGCACATTTTCTTACCAGATAAAAAGTAAAGTGATCTGTGAGTAAAGAACCTGAAAGCACTTGATGGTGGAAGATTGCTGGTGACCTGTCAAGGTCTATGAGGGTCAAAGAATGAAGGGTTTTTTTAAAAATACATTTATTTATTTATTAGTTATTTTTGGCTGTGTTGAGTCTTCATTGCTGCGTGTGGGCTTTCTCTAGTTGCGGCGAGCGGGGGCTACTCTTCGTTGCGGTGTGCAGGCTTCTCATTGCGGTGGCTTCTCTTTGTTGCGGAGCACGGGCTCTAGGCACGCGGGCTTCAGTAGTTGTGGCGCGCAGGCTTAGTTGCTCCGCGGCATGTAGGATCTTCCCAGACCAGGAATCGAACCCGTGTCCCCTGCATTGGCAGGCGGATTCTTAACCACTGCGCCATCAGGGAAGTCCCGAGAGTGAAGTTGTTTTTATTTTTTTTGGCTGCACTGGGTCTTTTGTTGCTGCACGTGGGCTTTCTCCAGTTGTGGCGAGTGGGGGGCTACTCTTCGTTGAGGTGCGCGGGCTTTTTATCGAGGTGGCTTCTCTTTGTCGCGGAGCACGGGCTCTAGGCGTGTGGCTTCAGTAGTTGTGGCGCAGGCTTCAGTAGTTGTGGCGCAGGCTCAGTAGTTGTGGCGCACGGACTTAGTTGCTCCGCAGCATGTGGGATCTTCCCAGACGAGGGATCAAACCCGTGTCCCCTGCATTTGCAGGCAGATTCTTAACCACTGCGCCACCAGGGAAGTCCTCAGGAATGAAGTTTTTGAAAATACATATTTGTTCTATAATGGCCTCTGAGCGTCTGCCACGTGTGGATTCTGCAGTAGCCTCAGGTTGCACAGATAGAGCACAGCTGCTCTCTGCAAAGGGTCTGCAGCCTGCAGGCAGATATGGACCAACTGATGCTGGCAGTGAGGATGAGCACAGAGGATGCACTTTGTTCTCCTTGGAGGGGGAAGGAGGGTGCAGGGGGAGGTAGTGTAGAAAAGCTTCCTAGTGATGACCCCTTAAGAAGAGCCTCCAAGATCACGTTGGAGTTAGATGAATAACAAATAAGGGCTTTCCCAACAGAACAGCTTGATGTGCCATACATTTGAGTACCTGAGACATACACTCTGTCCTGCAAAATATAAAATATTAGCCAGAAGAATGTATGGGACTTAAAAGACAAGGTATTTCCCACATAAGTGTTTATTTCCTTTTCTTTCTGCTATAATTAGCTTTCTCATGTGTTGCTTCCCCACAAAGAGAAAAGCGTGTTACTCTGGAGTTCAGGGCATGTTGTGTGGTAAGTAGATAAAGAAGATGAACTGTGATCAGGGTCTAGGCTCCACGTTACCAGCCTGAGCAGCAGTGGGCAGGTTCCTTCCTTGAGTCTCCATTTCCTTATCTGTTTAATGGGGATAAAAGTAAGGCCTGTCGCTAGGTTATCAAGAGCATCTAGTGGGATAATGTCATTGTTCATTGAATACAACGTGGAAACCACCCTGTGCTTTGCAGATGGTTTCCAAAGACTATTTAACTTTGTTTCCCCCTAGTGGTTAACACAGCTCATTGCAGAGTAGCCGACTTAAGATTTCCAGGGACAACCACACTACAGGGAGGTTCACTTGGTGGTCTTGTGTTAAGTTCAGACATTTGTCAGTGACTTGACTAAAAAGAGAACCTTGCTGTTCATGTTTGCAGAAAGGCACAGGGGTTAGGACTGTTCGTTAATATGATGGATGACCAAGTCAAGATCCAAGAAGATCTCCATGAGCTGATGCAACCAACAGTGTAAAATTTAACAGGACTCTGCCTTGAGGCTCAAGAAAGTCATTTGCAGCATTTGGTTGTCGCCTGGGGACATGACCACTGTCATCCGCAAATGGCCAGCAGTAGCCCGCAGGCGTGGCAGGCAGGCTGGTAGAATGGTGGGAGCGCTAGCCAGGTTCTGGTCTTGACTGCTGAAAAATAGCTCTGTGATAGGGGTAGGTCCCTTCTCATCTCTGGACCTCACGTTCTCCTTCAACATGCAGAGTTTGGATGAGGCGATTCTAAGGCTTTCTTGGGCTTTCTTCATCGGGGACCCAGCGTCGGGGCATCTAAATTACTTCCTGTAAATGCATTGTCGTACACTTCACCATGCACAAACTCACCTGTACGCCACACTTGTGCTTACCTCATACGGCCTCGACACTCCTGTTCACAGCTTAGCCACATTTGGCTGGCCTTCATGGCCTGTGGTCCACCCATGACCAAGTCTGTATGTGTAGGTCACTTGGCTTTCTGCCCTTTTCCCCTTCCAAAACAGAACTTTGCAGTAGCCTCTCTGCAGGTGAGTTCCAAACACCCGAGCAGCTACTATGTGCCGTGCCTGGGCACAAGGCCCGAAAGATGAGTCTGATCCACTCCCAGCCCTCAAGGAACAGTGTAAGGAGGACACAGATCCCTTCATTACAGCGCAGATCTCAAAGAGCAGCCCTTGTGTGTGGTGGCAGTTGAGGAGGGTGAGCCCCAGGCTGAGTAGATGTAAAGAAAGATCCCCTTGCATCTGACTTTTCAACTTTGGGATGAAATTCACCTAAGCAACTACCTCACTCCTCTCCTTCCCTTGCATGACCAAAGATTTCCCCAGCCCCTGCCCTTGAGACAGAGAAGGAGTCATTTGATTTAGAAATCTTCTCTGTTGATGCTACAGGTGCTTGTAAATACAGACCACGTTGAAAAGGTGCTTTTCCCTCATTCTGTCTTGATAGCTCATTTTGGAGACCATGATTCTTCCATTCATCCTCCGGGCTATCTTTCTGATAGTCAGTTCATACCGGATCAGAATGAGGACTTTTTAGCGAAGGTGGAGGCGCTCCATGAGCAGCACAGGTGAGAGGCGGGGCGGATGACCTACTTTGGGAACTCAGGTCGGGCACTGTCAGACCTCGTGTCCCCTTTTGGGTTTGATGTTGTCTTCTCTTGCTTTTGCTTATGAATCCTCTTTCAAGATGTCGGGGGTTTGTGAACCTTTGAGCTCTTATGATGGCAAATATATCTGGCGTTACGAGCATTTCTGTAAAGTGTGAAATCCTATGAGAGTCCAGGATAATTTGCTGCGTTGTTTTTCAGGATGTCACTGAAATCCGTTAGTTCCTGGAGGAAATGCCCATTTTAAATCTGACTGCCCCACAGATTGACCCTACCAGGCAAACCTTTTAACAGGTTCCCATATTTAATGAAACGAGCCGTTCCTTCAGGTGGTTTTGAATAGACAGGCAGACAGACATACGTGCTGACAGGCTGGGTGAATCCCCATCCTCTCTGGGTTCAGTTGGGAAAACCACCTTCCTTCCAGAAGGGAGCACCACCCTTCCGCAGCTGCCTCGGGCCAAGCCTCCACTCCCGCAGATTCGCCCGATTCTGGCCTCCTCTTCCCTTGCCTCCTTTCACTTAAAGCTGCAGTGGCTCCATTCAGTCCAGGTCAAATAAGGGCCACCCTGACCGAGAAGGCCAGGTCTCAAGGGACCTTACATTCTCAGGAAGGCCATAGAAACAAAGGCCTAAGCAACCAGTGTCCCTTCAAAAAGGCACTGACAATCCTCTCCCAGAATTGCTGTCCAGGCAGGAGCCAGCATCCTAAAATAGTACAGTGACGTTTGGAAGTTTGAGGCTGCTGCTAAAAGGATAGATAAAGGCAGAAAGACCTAAAGAGCACGTACTACTTTAGGGACTTGGAAAAGGTAGGGTGGGAATTCCAGAAGGTGACAGTCTTTATCTCTGAATATTGAGAACCTACTAAATGTGAGGTAGTTTTTAATAGAGGAACGAGAGGGCTAGATGAAGTCATATTCAGTGGACAAGAAGAAAAACGTGGTTTGCTAGCATTTGGGGTTTGATTGTTTAAGATGAATAACATGAGGCATTTAATAACCTTATAGCAATGGTATCAATATTTTTAGATTTTTACTAATTTTAAAAATCGGGGTTAAGATTCTGTTTACTGGGTGAAGTCTGCATCTTCTGTCTGCCTTTGCAGTGGGCTGAAGCAGTCAGAAGCGGAATCCTGCTTTATCAACATAGCCCGGACCCTCGACTTCTATGGAGTGGAGCTGCACAGTGGTAGGGTAGGTACCCGCAGCATGGCGTAGTTCCAAAGTGATTTTTAAATTTCTGAACATCTGAAAGCTTCTTTGAAACTATCTCTTTTCCAGTATAATAAAAAGACCTTTTTTTTTTTTTTTTTAATGGTACCTGAAAGGCTTATAAAGTAATACTGAGTTTTGCGGGTTCTTTATCCACTTGGATTTTTTCGTGTTTGCTGTCCTACTTGAAGACGTTTTACTTTTGCGGGGGTCACGGGGGTTAGAAACAAGTAATTTTTGTAAGACCATCTCATGGTTAAAGAGGTGAAAAATGTATAGAGTTCTGTTTTCCAAGTGGCTCTTTAATGAGCCAGGTTTCTACTAGTTAATCTCAGTGCTGCTCAAATTAGAGCTAATTATGTGCTCAGATATGATAGTTTTCTGTTAGGATGGCATGTTTATGAAAATCAAGTATTTTGAATTGGTTGTGACTTTTTAAATAAAACTGATGAATATCTATCATCTGCTGAGCCGTTTCTAACTGCCAGACACAGTCCCTATTTATTTCCCACTGTAATGCCATGAGGTAAGTGTTGTCATTTCCTCCATTTTACAGATGGAGAAACTGATACTCAGGGACTTATCAAAGGTCAGGTAGCACATAAGTAATGGCTTCAGCGTGTGACCCCAGCACTGTCTAATTGGCATCTGACCTTTACATTTTCTACCTGTAATTGGGCCACATCATATCCAGAGGAAGCAAATATTGGTTGAACACGTAGTCCATACTAGCCATTGTTCCAGAAGCTTTCATATGTGACCATAAGGTCTCATTTAAAGATTATAGCAGCCTTGGGAAATGTGTTCTAATCACCCCATTTTACAGGTGAGAAAACTGAGGCTCAGGGAAGTTGAGTAAATTACCAAAGTTTACATTTAAATAATATTTTTGCAATTCATAGAAACACTTTCATTTCTTTTCTCTTACTTCAATCCCCTAACTGTGCAGTGTACAGGATATAACATAGGTAATAAAGTAGGAAAAAGACACGGATCTTACAAAACATCAACTTTGGGACTTGACTTAATTTTTATTCCACTTGCAAATACTGTTTTGTCTGGTAGAATGTTGTGGAGCCCTTTCTTCAATGGTGAAGTGGGTTTTACATCTGCCTGAGTTGATCTGTGCTCCCCCCACCCCCAGGGTCTCATGAAGGTCCTGACGCCAGTTGATTACCTGTCTGCCTGACACCCCCGTGGTATCAGAGGGAGTTGGGTTACCCTTGGCTGAGCTGCATCAACCAAAGCCCCCTGAAAATCAGTAACTTGATATCACAGAGCTTATTTCTCAGTAGTTCAAAGGCTGTACGGGTCCCGGTGGCTCTCCAGGGCAGCACTCCTCCGTGCAGTGATTCAGCAGCCTAGGCTGCTTCCGTCTGGTGGCTTCACCATCTTCACATGTGGCCTCATGCTTGTCCCAAGGGAAGGGGAAGTTGGAGGGCTGCACACCAGCTCTTAAATGATTCGGCCCGGAGGGGACTCATCACTTCTGCTCGTTGTTCATCAGCCAATGAACTGTTGAGCAAAGCTGTTCATCAGCTAATCATACAGTCCTGCTCCGCAAGCTGGGAGGTTTGGAGATGGGCACGGGAACTGAGCGAACAGTGACTATCCATGCTACCGTGGTGACCACAGAACCAGGAGATTTGAGACCCATGTCACTGGCCCACACAAAGCATTCACTTATTTCCTCATTCTGCACTTGATTTTTATTTTGTTTGCTAATTTTCTGTCCCACCTGCTTAATATTTCCCTATATTCTGATCCCAAGTATCACGTTTAATGCAACCCTGGTTTTCAACTTGCCAGTTCGGTTTTGCTTTAAGCGTGTGATTTCAGTTGGGTGCCCAACAGTGATTACTCTCTGGACTTTCCACAACGGGTAAGCAGTGTTTGCTTTGGCCAGTTTCTCCAACCCCCCGTGTTCACATCACTGTTCATAAATGATTTGTCCCACTATCTCTTGAGAGGTGAAGGGGATGAACGTTTTTTATACCTACTGCATACCAATACGTTCTTATATTCTCTAAGTTCAGCTTGATAAAACTCTTTGAGGTGGGTGCGACAATCCTTATTGTACAAAAGGAAAAACTGAGGCCAGTAGCCCAGACCAACACAGCTAGTAAGTGGCAAACCTAAGGTTCACATCCAATGGTAACTCTGCCCCTTCTTTAAAATTACGAGTATCTGATTGGGTAAGTAGGGATATAGATGACTCAAGGGAAGGCACTGTTTATTTTAAAATTTTCATTCTCAAATGGATTTAATGGACTACGTCTTGTAGTCGCTGTATCTTCCTTTTATTACCTTCATTATCTATGGCAATGCCTAGCACATGGGCTCTTAATAAATGTTGACTATATTGGACTTATAAGCCATATTTTATTTTTCATTGGGTTTAGAATCAGCAGTTCTACACTTCATATTAATAGCTAAAGCCTTCTCAGTGATGGGAGTTGAGATTTGTTTAAAGCTGTGGGGGGGACGAGGCTTTTCTGATTTCGATATGGTGTCTGATACTAATCGTTGAAGATGTAAAGGCAAATGTTCATTTCTATGATTCTGTGGAATGAGTGAGGTTGCCTGGTGGTAACTTTGTAAACTGGCAGAACCCAGGTGTTGCTGTCAGGCAATGTATTTTCACCTTAGAAGAATTTGGTGCTAAGTACTTGGATCTTAAGTATCTGTTAAGAGGAGATTTTTGCCTGTTTTCTGTAATTTTCCTTTTGGAGCTTACATGTAGTGCTATTTATAAAAGCGTGGGTGCTTAAGTTACCGGAGGGCATAAGCATGACAGTAACACGCTGTGAATCTGAGATCTTCCTTTTTACAGGATCTGCACAGTTTAGATCTAATGATTGGAATTGCTTCTGTGGGCATCGCTGTGTACCGAAAATATATTTGCACAAGTTTCTATCCTTGGTAAGTGCAAACCGGTTCTAATTATTTTCTGAATCGTGCTTTAAAAATATGCTGAACAAAAGTAATGGTACCTCTAATTTTAAACTTTTCTTTCTAAAGAAGGGACAGAGACTTTCTCCCAAGTTTTTACCTCTGACCTGTACAATTAATCCAGATTCAGTACTTGGGAAAATTAGTTTGGTTTTTATCAGCATCCCCTTCTTCCCCAGTCACCCTATGGTTTGGGATACCGTGTGAAACCTGGATAAAACAACACAAGGCAGGTGTTGGAGTTAAGGAATCCTTCCTGGGCGGCACATTAGCCAGGATTCAGAGAACTTCCTCTGGGCAGGAGCTGTATTTTCAGGGCAGTTCCTTAGTTACTAATTGAAGTTTTATCAAGTGCCCAGTTCTGGTCTAAAAACTCAGGGGATCCAGCAGACTTGAATCCTGACAAATCTGAGCAAGGCAGTGCTGTTCCCACTGTTCAGAAGGGCTCCATGGTGGAGGACTTGCGAGCACAAGCTCAGATCCTGGCTCCAAGCATTCCTGGCTTGAATGATCTTGAGCACTTACGCGCTGTCCCCCAGCCTCAGTTTCCTCATCTGAAAGCTGGGTATAATGATACGTACTTTTCAGGAGTATTGCAAGTCTTAGTAGAGGGGCTGCTTGTGAAGCTTTAAGTATAAAGAAGGCTGTTAATGGTGACTGTCATTGTGTTACTATGCAAACAATAGAGAGGCTACTGGACACACGGCTATTAAGTGGCTGTTAAGTTTGCGAAGCAGCTGGGATGCGGACGCAGGTCTGTCTGTCCTCCTCCTGCTGCTCCACACTGCCCTCAGCTGTCTTCCCCAGGTACACACCAGCCCTAGCAGAGCTGCAGTATCACAAGAGCAGCTGACAGCAGAGAGCGCATTGCCCATGGTCCTTGTTATTTAAGAGCTACATCATAAACCGGGGGCCCTGATGTGCCGCTCAGCTTCAGTCAGCTACTTAGGGTTTGGCCGAGGTGATGGGGCCGCCATCCTTCCTGCGCTGAAGCAAAGGCTAGGGAGCCGAGAGCCCCCAGCCATCGCGATCGTGGACTAGAGAACACACGCCGAGAGGCGCCAGCTGCAACCTGGCTGCTCCCTGATGTGCTTCTTTTGTGTTGTGTTTTACTTTTTTTGCAGGGTGAACATTCTAAAAATTTCTTTCAAAAGGAAGAAATTCTTTATACATCAGCGACAAAAACAGGTGAGTTGTACCTATGCTTGCTTTGGTTCTTGTGCTTTTAGCCAGTTCAGCTTTTAGTCCTTCAGCAGGTGAAGGAATTTGTCGTATGTGTAACAGGGAAGAAAGAGCATTGCAAACGGTGGAAAGAAAGTGGGCATCAGGGTCCGGTGGGCCCCGCAGTCTTCTGTGTAATTCACTCTGCTTATCTGGCTGAGGAAGTCACTTGCTTTGCAGTCAGAGACATTGGGTTCAGGTCCTAGCTCTTCCACTCACCAGTTGGGCGGGTTACTTAACCTCCTGTAGTCTGAGTTACAGGAATGCAACAATGCCCAGTTCTCAGGGAATCATCAGATTTAGATAGAAGTGCCATTGGTCACAGCACCTGGCCGAGCCCACTGCAGAGTAGCAATAAAAGTCAGCAAGGTCAGTTCCTTCCCTTGATGTGTTTAAAATGCACGGTGGCCTTGCGTATATGTCTCATAGGAGGAGTCTGCAGCTCTCCAGATAACTCAGTTTGGTTTTCCACATGGAGAAGAGCAACTTAGAGGTGAGAGAACCCACAGCTAGTGAAGTGGAGGAGCTGGAATTTGAACTGGTCGTTATGCATCTGAGATGCCCGCTCTTCCCACGACACCGCACTCTGTCTTGTCAGGCTGCGTATTTTTCACTTACTGTCACTACGTCATTTCCCAATTTTCCAAAGATAACATGTACCTAAAATGGCTCCACATCACAATAAACTCTTAGGACTGAGAGCACGAAAGCTCAGAGAAAACTAGGACTAGAATCTGGGTCTCCCGAGCCCTAGATGCAAAATTCAAGGTGCCGTAAAAAGGCACAGGATGGTAATTTAACATGAGAACAGAAAACCTGAACTCAGGTAGAATGGAGGTAGAGCAAATGATCAAAATGATTATTATAAGCGAGCACTAGATCTGACTCTCTTTGTGGAAAGCAAATAGAGAAACCCAAAGCATTATAAGATTCCTGTCATTTGATAGGTGAAAGATGATTTCTTCAGGGGAGAGATTTTTCCCAGAGCTAAATTTTGAAAGGAATGTATCAGACAGCCCTTATCTGGTTGCTCCAAATATATCCGACCTAGAAATGTAGGCAGGTGTGAAATGAAAGCGTTCATGAAAGACCACAGATGATGATGAAGAGTAGACTCTGGTCGTCTTTATTACCACGTTCATAAAGATGGTTAACAAATCCTGCTGCTGAATATTCTTAGAACCCTGTTTTTGTGGCCTAAGGAATTTTGAAACCAGTTTTCTGCTGTCCATTGTCTCTTACTTGATAACCACCGATGTGGGCATAAAATGCTTGAGACCCTGCTCCTACATCTGTGTAGATGAAATCTCTACTGTGTTTTTCCTCCCAGACTGAATCCAGGGAACACATAGTGGCCTTCAACATGTTAAATTACCGATCTTGCAAAAACTTATGGAAATCCTGTGTCGAGCACCATACATTCTTTCAGGCAAAGAAGCTACTACCTCAGGAAAAGAATGTTCTGTCTCAGTACTGGACTCTGGGCTCTAGGAACGCCAAAAAGTGAGTATATGCTTTAGGGACAGTCTCCACGCTAGGCTGAGAAATAAACATGTCCTGGTCACCCCTGGGGAGTAAACATCCTCAGGGGGAGGGACGTCTTTGCCCAGGGGCCCCGGCCCTGGGGCCAGAGCTGCTGGTGGGTCTAGAACCATGGGTGAAAGTCTGCTGGGGCCGCAGTTTGTCTTTCCACACACGCAGGCGCTTCTCCTATTCCTGTCACTTGCTTCTGCCTGCTCAACTCTGTAACACTCAGTGCCCCCAAGCAGCCAGCATTGGAACAGCTCCGTCATGTCACGCCAAGGGAAGCACAAGGCTGTGACTAAGGGTCATCTTGGTGCCATTAAGACAGCCTCTCCCACTGAACAGTAATTCCATAAGACGCTCTATAATAACGAATGAGCAGAAATAAAGATTTCCAGAGTCAGGTGACTTTTTGGCATATACTACATCCAGCAATCACAAGATAGTAACAGTAATAATTACAGTTGACGACTACTGAGTGCTTACCTTGTTCCATGCACATACTTCATTATGCTTCATTCTTTTTTTTTATATGTTTAATCCTTACAGCAATTCCATGTGTGCTATTATCCCTAGGAATGATATTTAAAATACTTAATGACTAGTAAATAAATCTATACATTTTAAACTTTTAGACTACAGTGTGTTCTCATGCAGTTTATATTTTTGTATATGTTTTTATTCTAAGATGTAGGATACAAGATGTATTATAAATACTTGCCTTCTAAATATAAGATGTAGCAGAAATTCCATATCAAATTATTTTCTAAATTGGTTGGGAAAGTTATTTTTGTGATTTTTATTTTAATTGATGTGGCTGTTACTAAAAATGGTGCCCCTGTCTGAGCCATTATCTGATATGTGGGACTGTACCAGACTATTCCAGTGGCTTTCCTATTACATGGTAATCAGTTGATAGCTTTCTCAATTGAATAAGTAGTAAATGTCTGTTAGTATCAGTGATAGTATTGACATTTATGGTGCTAAATGCTCTGAGCTTCTGATGAACCAAGAGCAAATATATTTTCCAAGATTTTGTCTTCTAATACTGTCCAGTATTTTTACACATTCGGTAGCTCTATTTCTGAACGTGCCGTAAACATAACTTGCTGGAATGTAGCATTTACTTTAGTTGGACTTAATCCTCTCGGTGAGCTGAGAAGTGGCATTGAGAGCAACTAAAAGCTTGGACTGTCTTACAGAAGGCTGGGTTAAAATCTGACCTACATCAGTTTTAATTTAATTTGCTTCTTCAATTTCTTCATCTGTAAAATGCAACCAACACGGAGGATTTTTTTTTTTTTGGTTCTCCATTGTGGCAGGAAAAACTACCCCTGTTTTTGTGGCTTAAAGCAGTAACCATTATATTATATCTCAAGATCTTGTGGGTCAGGCGTTCGGGAAGGGTGTGGCCAGATGATCGTTCCTCTCCGTGCAGTATGTAGACTAGGGTTTCTCAGTGAGATGCAGCTGGTGGCCGGGCCGGGCTGAGGGTCCGGGACCACTTCTCTCCCACACCGGGTGCCTTTGATGGAATGATCAGAAGGCTGGACCCGTCTGGACCCCCACCCCCTCTGTGTGTTCTCAGGGCCTCTCACAGGGTAGTTGGATTTCTTACACAGAGGCTTGGGACTGCAAGAGCCGAAGGCAGAGGTGGCCGGTCGTCTTAAAGGCTAGGCCCATACCTGGCACAGCTACTCTTGGTCAAAGCAGTCCCAGGCCAGCCTGGGTTCAAGAGTCAGAGAACTTGCAGCCGTTTTTAATCTGCCACTAGGGGTCACTTGGGACACGGTGGGTGGCTCAGTGGCCACAGGTCAGCAGTTCTTGACCACCAATACCAGCTTCAGCATACTGGCAAATCTCATCCCTCATTCTCTCCATTTCATAGATGGAGAAACTGAGGCTTAGGTTACGTGATTTGCCCAACCCCTAGAGATGCCGCTATACATTTGCATATTGGGCCCTCTGAAACTTATTCGGTATTTTCCAAGCTTATGGGACAGTGGAACACTTCTTTTTCCAAAGAGTACCTGTTAATAACCTGTGACGCATACTTTGGGGAGCTGCTACATTAAACCTTTGAATCAACCAGCTTGCTCCCCTCATTCCGATGATGTGCTCTCAATCAACGGTAATTTGGTTTCTGATGTAGATTCTCGTGGTGATGCTTCTGTGAGCATTTTGATTAGGGTGACAACCGTACTTCCCATTGAAAATTAGTACATTGATATTCTAGAGGGTGTGCTTCGTGTTACCTATGTTCTTGTGGTTTTTCTGTCCTGTGTTTTGTTGGGGTGATGGTTTAGGCTGCAAGGAATTGCGTGGAATGTTTTAATGAGACATTAAAACATTGTTTAAAATTTAGAAATGCCAGAACTGAGTTTCCCCGAAACTGGCTTCAAACTCCATCCTCTCAAATAATTCATTCTCTGAAGGGTCTGGAGAGCTGAGATTTAAATTCTCTAGGTATAAATAAAATTTGAAGGTAACCTTCGGGGTGGCACATTCAGAGAAGATGGCCTGAAACTCTGCTGTCTAAGCATATTTTCTCAGGTCTGCTCTTAAAGAGTTCTGAGTGATTTACAGTGACGGTCTCCGCCAGCTAGGATGACAGAGAACACTGGGAAGCATGGTTAATGTTTGTACTCATGCCAGGGTGAGTAAAGTGAGCATTCCTGGAAGTTACTTGAACTGTGTTTCAGTGTCAATCCTGAAATTCCTTCTATCTGGTAAGGCTTGGTTATATTCTGAAAGCAGTTTTGTTGCTTGAAGTAGTAAGGGCAAGAAAATATTTTTTCACCCGAAGAGAAGAGATCACATAAGGAAAAGCTAGGACAGAAAGGAATCCCTTCTGACCCGTGTACCTCCACTCCTGGTAACCTCTGCCGGGGTCATCAAGGTGTTAACCAGTCATCCGTCAGGGAGGGAGCGTGTGTAGACATGTTTCGCTTACGCTGTCACTTCTTTCTCGTCGCATATGTCAGGGTAGAAAGTGAACCTACATCTGGTTTTTCAGGTCTGTAAATAACCAGTATTGCAAAAAAGTGATCGGAGGGATGGTCTGGAACCCGGCCATGCAGAGATCTTTATCCGTGGAACATTTAGAAACCAAGAGTCTACCGTCTCGGTCTCCTCCTATTACTCCCAACTGGTATGTCTTCCTTTTTTGGTATTACCTACCGGTAAACACTTTACTTCTTTTAAAAACTCAATACAAATAAAAACATAACTACAGGTGGCCTATGGTCAGAGTTTACATTTGCATGTTTATTGCAGAAGTAACTATTTTTGTGAAATGCACAAGTCTAGCTAAACATTTTCTGTAGTGTATGACGCTGGGATGTTCTTTTTTAAAAAGTTATTTGGTCTAAGTAAATTTGAGCACTGCAGCTTACTGAAATGCTGCTCTTGAAATTAGCATATTCAGGTTTTGAGAAGTCCTGTGATAAAGAAGCATGTTTAACTTTATTTAATCTCACATTTCCCATTAATGTCAAACAAAATAAACTTTGAGAAAACATAGTAAAGGCATGTAATACAACTGATGTAAGGACGTGTGACCCTCAGCAGCGGTAGCAGATGCACATAGGAAAGTAGCCTGCCAACTTTTAAGATGATGGACTCAGCTTAAAAAGAAGGAAGTGGCAGGGCTTCCCTCGTGGTGCAGTGGTTGAGAGTCCGCCTGCCGATGCAGGGGACACGGGTTTGTGCCCCGGTCCGGGAAGATCCCACATGCCGCGGAGCGGCTGGGCCCGTGAGCCATGGCCGCTGAGCCTGCACATCCGGAACCTGTGCTCCTCAACGGGAGAGGCCACAACAGTGAGAGGCCCGCGTGCTGCAAAAAAAAAAAAAAAAAAAGAAGGAAGTGGCAGTTTGGCAAAATGGGAAGGGCACTGGGTTTGTAACTGGAAGACCCGGACTCAGATTTTGACTCTCCTGTTCGTTAACAAGTTTGTTTACCTCTCTGGTCTCAGTCTTTCCATCTGTAAAGGGATTGAATGACATAATGTACAAGTGCTTTGTAAGCTATACAAAAAGGATCAGGTAGAATTATTATTGTTGTTTTTGTTATTGTTATTTTGTTATAATGTTCCTCAAAGACATCAGGCCATTTTGTGAATGCCTTCAAAAGAGCCAGGCATCATTAGAAGGGGAAACCAAGCCAGGAACATTGTCCCAGCCCCACCCTGAAATAAGGGTATGGCTTTCTGTTCATTGCATGCTAGGGTGCACCTGTAAATTCTCAGAGTGAGCTACCAGGACTAAGGGGCATTCTAACATGCAGGCCAAAAAAGGAGCTGTTGTGCAGGGCCGCTGGGTAAGGGCACTCTACTGGGGCCTAATGCTCTGGGCAGGGATGGTGATGGTGTTTAGTGTCGGAAATCATAACATGACTGAATAGATTGGTTCTTGGTCTCCCAGATTTAGGCACTCATCCTACAGTAGTAAATTTATGCTATAACGTGGCAGCTTAATTTGTCTGAAAGTCTCTTAGGCAGCAGTGCCAGGGCCCCAGAACAGAGGCCAGGACAGCGTCCAGGAGAGCAACTGGAGCTGACGTTGCTACGCCAGTGGACTGTGGCTCTTACTGCTATTTATAGGTCCTCTTCTGAGGAGTCACAAACCTTTCCACTCTGCTTTGGACACAGTGGTATTGATTATCGGGGCCCAAGGGGATTGCAAATAGTGGAGGCTCTGACAGTCCCAAGGAGAAATGGCTAACAAAGAAGCGGAAGATGCAAAAACAGGGAAAATGAAATTTAGAAAGCTCAGCAGCCTGGGATCACCCACTGCAGGAGCCGATGCCCAGGTGCTGCCCCAGGTGTCACCCCAGGCATCCTGGGGACATTGCTTCATTTGATTTATTTTCAGGAGCCAGGTAGGTACAACTGAGGCTCAGAGAGGTGGTGTGACTTGCCTCATGTCACACAGCTACTGCTGCTATTGGAGGGACAGGGCGGTGCTGGGGCTATGCCCATC